CCCTGCTGAAGGGCAGGGGGGGGCTTCACTGGACTTTGAACCGGGGTGGGAGGAGGGAGAACCACTTCAGCCGCTAATTTTAGCAATGCAACATCATTACCATGTCTTAACGAGGCAGCAGGTCCCATTAACTGCTCCTTCCATCGGCACACACGGAGCCAACCCGTGAGCGCTGCCGCTGCTCTGCCATTCAAAGACCTCAACAAGACTCGCTATGTAAATTCAATTACCCTAAAAAAAAATAAATGCAGATAAAAGAACCGGGCCCTTAACATTTCAAAGGCGTCGTTTGCCGTAATTAGGAGCGGCCCGCGCTGCTCCGGCGGCAAAGGCTGAGCCCGCGGTTATGTTGACACAAAAGGCTGCCCAGGCCCGGCCAGGCTCATTAACATCTAATGGTCCCACTAAAATGTAAACACCCAAACGCAATAATTTACTTTTGCAAAGCATATAAACACGTGGGAGGGTGCCTAGAACCAAATCAAACAACCCCTGCTGCAAATAACCCTGCGGCCCAGCTGGCATCGCCCCACGGGCTCGGGCACAGCGCGACGGGGGACGGGGTCTGGTCTGGGGGGTGATGCCCAAAGTGTCCCCACAAGGCCAGTTAATCGGGAGCCACCTGGTGGCAAATGGACTGGAGGGTTTGTCCCCGGTTTTGGAGGTGGCAGGTCTGGTCCCCCGTGGTGGGAAAGGCAGGGTGGGCGGGTTGGCAAAACCTCCCCGTGGGGATGTGCGTGGCTCTCCCCTTCCCCAGGAAGCACCTGGCCAGTGGAGAGCCAGGGGGATCCCTCAGGTGATGCCCAACCACCCACACCTTCCTGAGCTGCTCCTGCCCTTCCTCCAGCGAGGATGAGCTGGGACAGACGATGGTGGCTTGACCTCCTTCCTGGTGCCCTGCCCTGCCGGTTTTAGGCTCATCGTTCCCTTTTGCAGCAGCAAGTGGAAACTAAATGAGGACAGACTCACTTGATTGCAAATCCTGGCCGGCCCAGGACCCTCCAGCCCGCTCTGGGATCCCCAACACGGTGGTCCCACAGGGGGTGGTCCTATCCACCCATGTGCTGGTGATGGGGATGGTGGTGAGTGGCCCGGAGGGGACAGGATGGGAGGATTTGCCTCAGGCACATGGCTTTGGTGTGACAGCACAGCCATGGAGGGCCGTGGGTGGCACACAGCAGCGACTGCATCCCTGCCAAATCCCCAGGGAATCTCCCTGGAGGCTGCCCTTCAGCCACGGGTGCTCCCATTAATCCTCCTCCAGCGCTGGGATCGCTGCTGGTGCGTGTCGGTAATTAGGGATGACTCAGCCGTTTCCAAAGCAAAGGAAGTCACTGACAGGAATCTTCCTTTGCAAGTGACAAATGCTCATTTACCAAGGGGTGGAAGTTACTAATTGTGTTGCCTCCATCCCACCTTACAGCGAAGTGGGGTGTCCCCACCCTGCACCAACAACCTCTTCCCTGGTTTTGGGCTCTGTGGAAGGAAAGGGTCTGTGAGGGGTGATTTGGAGGAAGAGCAGACCACAGTGACTGGACGATGGGTCAGGGAAGATGGATCTCAAAGCACCAGCAGCATGAGACCTCCTGGAAAAGGAAAGTGGTATTTTTTTGTAGTTATCTTTCAAAATGAGAAGCTTAAACTCACTCACAGTCCTGGACCCCTAGAGCAATCTCCCAGAGATGTGTGCCCAAGTGGCTGTGTGTGACAGCGTGATGGGGGACAGCAGCTGCCAAATTGCCACTCCACATCTGGGGCTTGTCCTGGTGTGCAATGACAAACTGGTTTTTGGACTGGTTTTTGATCCCCCTCTGGAGCCAGCAGGGATTACGGGGGGGAGGATGTGTTGCCTCAGCGGTGTTTACTTCATCCTCCACGAGTCTTAGGCAAGGCTGCTGACTCCTGCTGGTGTTTCCTCATTTGGGGAATCTCTCTGGCTCCAGTTTGCTTCCAGGGAAGGGAAGTGGCACAAGGGATGTGCTGTCAGCTCGGTGCCCTCCCCCAGTTATCGAGGGCAGCTCAGGGTGTGATTGCAGCCGGGCCATATCAGAGCACAGCTCAACCCTGGCTCGATGCATCATCATCCTGGTGATCCCGGTCTGATGACTGGCCCTCGTGCCCTGCCTGCCCCTGCTTGGCTAATTTGCCAAAGTTTGTCCATGCTCAGTGTTTCCTGCTTGCCCTGCAAGCAGAGATCCATGCAGAGAGAGCACTGAGGGGCTGGATCCTGCTGTCCCTGCTCCAGGTGCCTGGTGCAGCACCTACACGGTGCAGATGTTCCTGTCCAAGGGCTTGGCAGAGGGTCCCTGCCCCTCCTGGTCCCCAGGGGCTTGACTCTTGTTTCAGAGCCACTGCCTTGGTCCTGAAAGGCAAAATTCTTAGTCCAAAGCAAAGCTTGTGATGGAACTCAAGCTCTGCCTAACCAGGGCATGGGGCTGAGATCCCAGCTTTGGGTTTGAGATTTCAGTGAGGGTTTCTAGAACAAGAAATCCCAGAGTTACAGGAAGAGAAGGGCTCGAGAGCTTCCCAAGGGAGGGCTGCCAGCAAAATCATCTGCTGGGCATCCTCAGGGTGTCTCTTGGCAGAAGTGTCATCCTGGGGGCTTGGGGTGGGCAAGGGGGCTCTTACTGGGGACGGGGGGGGCCATCCCCACCAGAACTGTAAAATCCTCTGATCCCTCCTGGGCCCTGGTTTCCTGTGATGCACATGTGGATGGCTGATGTGCCCTCCACCAAGCCCTCCCAGGTGGGGAATATAAACTGATCCTGGGCTGTCACCTCTCCCCGGTGTAGATGAGTTGGCTGATGAGGATCCTCACCCCACCTCCTTGGTGAGAAGAGGTGGTACCTCCAGGGGGAGGATCATTTCTGCCTATAAAAGGTGTCTCTGGGCAGTGTCCTGGGGACAGTAGAGCCATAGCTGCCTTTGTCCCCAGCCCACAGGCCTTGACACTTGCATTTCCCTGTGCCCAGACTCTGCTTTCTGGCCAGTGCCTATCATGGCACTCAGCATCCATCTGGCTGTTGATCCTCCTGCTCATCCTTCCTTCCTTTCTTTCTTTCCTTTTTTTCTTTCTTCTCTTTCTTCCTTTCATTTCTTCTTTCTTTCTTCCTTTCTTCCTTTTTTCCTTTCTTCATGTCTTCCTTCTTTTCTTTCTTCCTTTCTTCCTTTCTTCCTTTCTTCCTTCCTCTTTCTTCCTTTCTCTTTCTTCCTTTCTTCCTTCTTTTCTTTTTTCCTTTCTTCCTTTCTCTTTCTTCCTTTCTTCCTTCTTTTCTTTTTTCCTTTCTTCCTTTCTTATTCTCTTTCCTTTTTTCTTTCTTCCTCTTTCTTTATTCATTTCTTCCTATCTCCTTTTCTCTCTCTTTCTTCCTTTCCTTTCTCTGTTTTTCTCTCTGTTTTTCTCTCTCTTTCTCTTTCTCTCTTTCTGTCTCTTTTTCTCTCTTTCTCCTTCCTTTCCTTCCTCCCTTCTTCTCTTCTTCTCTCTCTCTCTTTCCCTCTTTCCTTCTCCTCCTTCTCCTTCTCCTGTCCCATGCAGGAGGGCAGATCATGACACTTCCAGAGGGGCTCAGGCTGCCATGGGAGGGCTGAAAACATTCCAAGCAGGTCCCCTGTCCCCCCTCATGTCCCCCCCAAGGTTTCTTAGACCCCTCACCCCCGGTCCTGGTGCTTGAATCCCTCCCACAGACACGAGCAGGGCTGACAGCCGGGCTCTGCTCGTCAGGCTCTGCCAGAAACGAGGAGGAATCAGCACAGTAATTAAATGTGCAAATAACTGGGATTTGGGAGTTAGAACAAAAGGCAGAAAAACAATCCAGAGGGGTTTGGAAAAATTAAGAACACAGAGGAAAATCTAATCAAGCAGAAAATAGCCCGACTGGAGCCAACAGTTGGGGGCTGAGGCCCTTGGAGAGCTCCTCCCCTGGCACCTGGGGGGGTTTTGGTGCCATTCTGGGGCAGAACAAGAGTTTTTGGAGAAATCTGTCCCTGCTTGCTGAGCAGGGCTGGCTGCAGGCTGAGTTCCCGGGAAAAGTTCCCAGATCTGCGCTAGTGGTGCAGGGCAGATTTTGGATGCAATATCCATGCAAATAATCACCCAGAGGGGCAGCCAGGGAAATGCAGCTGGTGGAGGTGGGGGAGAGATACCTGAGGCCAGCAGGGTTGGGATCAGTTGGACTCTTTAGAAGGGAGAAAGTGGTTTTTCACTGCAAAGCATTTGCTGGGGATTAAATATTTCACGCAGACTCACCATTCCCAGCCACAGTGTTTCCCTGGGATGAGTTTGGACATGCAGAGCTCTCTGCAAGGGGGAGATAAATGGAAAACGTGAGCTGGTTGTGGCCTGCTGGACAGAAATCCCCCCTGGCAGCATCCTGGGAGGGACTGGTGGCAGGGGAGAGCAGCAGGCTGGAGCCACGCTCTGGTGCCACTGGTTTGTGCTCACGCTCAGCCTTGCTGGGATTTCCGTGGGGGGATATGCTGGTTGGTCATTGCATCCCTGGGGAAGTGGTCCAGAAGGTTGGGAGACAGAGCCAGGGCACCTGGAACTGTGCCATGGACACCGTGGGGACCGTCCTGGGCCACTGTGCCTTGGTTGTGCATGGGGGATGTTTCTGAGGGGACATTCCATGGGTTGGAAGGATCTTCTCCCTCCACCAACAGAGACAGACAAGGCAGGGGTGTCTCCATCACACAGCACATCCTGGAAGAGCCAAACCCCCATTCTGATATCCAAACTCACCCCAGACTCAGCCAGACCCATCTCCCACCATTCCCTGCAGAAAAACCTGGCCAGGTTTGCTCTCACATCCCAGGGCTCGGCCAGGTTCAGGGGATGTGGCTCAGCCCCACGGGGAGACGCTGCAGATGCCTCCCGGCCCCTCTGGGTGCTGGAAAGGGACCTTTCCTGGGGATACACTGCAGGGAAAACCAGCCCAGGGACATTCCTTGCCCGGCCAAGCCTCCGGGGAGGGTTTGTTTCTCCCCCGCAGCCGTAGCAACGATCCCGGCTCCTGCTGCAGATCCGCTCCCCTCATCGCCTGAGCCATGGAAGTGGGGGCAGCAGGAGACCCTCCCGGGGCCCGGGGGGACCCCCCAGCAGGGACCTACCTCATCCCACACAGGGTAAGCCCCAGGGAGCACTTCTGCCTCTGGATTTATGGGATACGAGGTGGGAAAGGGAATGAGGTGGGTGGAGAGAAGAGGGGCTGGGGTCGGGATTTAGGCTGTGGGGCAGCGAAGCTGCTCGTTACAAAACGCCTCCCTGCTCCCTTCTGGCCAGGGAAGGCCATCCCTGCACAGAGACGTGTCCCCAAAGGTGACACTATGCCCCCCCTGCTCCCTGCCCCCAGCCCCTGTCCCCTCTCCTCCCCGGCCGCCCCACTGGCAGGGCACTAAATTAAACCCGGAGTGGACATTCCTGGCGTTTTCCATCCCCTCCTCCCTCTCAGCTCGCCGTGCCGGTGTCCCAGCAGCCCGTGATGATCCTCCAGCAGCTTCCAGGGCCCGGGGCTGTCCTGGCCCCCCCCGCGGGACCCCCGCCCGTCCGGGGAGGTGCGTGATGGAAGAGGTCGGAGAGGTCAGCGCTCAGCCCAGCTTAACTTCATCCTCTTCTCCTTTTCCCGACGCAGGGCAGGCAGGAGGGCCGTGCCCACCCTCTGAAGCCTCTCAGGAACAGCCCACGCCACCCTTGGACGGCTGCTTGGCCCCACGGGATGGGATTTTGGGGGGTTTAACCAAACTTGAAGTCTGGGCTGGCTTTGGCCACGCCAGGGTGCTCCCAGGGAACATTTTTGGGTGTTTGGGTTTTTTTGTTTGTTTGTTTGAGTTTTGTGGTTTGGGTTTGTTTGTTTTGGAGGGTTTTTGTTTGTTTGTTTTTAATTTAATTTAATTGTTTTTAACCTGCTTTTTTTGTCCAAAACCCCATTTCATGAGGGCCACGGGTAGCATCACCAGGGAAAGCCGGGGTGACAGGGACCCCATGGCCATGTGAGATGGGACCAGATGGGAACAAGCTGGGACACAGCCCGTGGGATGTGCAGGCAGGATGTGCAGCTGTCTATAAAGGGATTTCACCCAACCTTGTGCCACCCAGGGCTGGGGGGAGCAGAGACAGAGGGGGTTTGTGGTCTCTGAGCCATGGACAAGGCTGTGCAGCGTCGTGGGGAGGAGGAACATTGAATTTAAAAATCCATGGAGGAAAGATGATGCTGAAAATCGGTGTGGAAAGAAAACAGAGCCCCAGCCCCTCAGAGCCCTGGGCATGGGTGGGATCCATTCAGAGCTGCCAGAACTTCATGTCCTTCCCCCCTGGTTCAATGGTTGGCTGCTGGCCCACTCCTTCCTCCCAGCTCCAGCTCTGGCCACCTCCCAGGCTGTGCTGGGATGCTCCTTGCTGAAGGGCCATTCACCTCATGGGTGTCCTGGGAGCCCATCCCTGCAGTTCTGAAACATTTGAGGACCTGGCACATGGGGCACAGGGATGCCCAAACCCTCTTTTTTTTTAACCCAGGCTCCAGCTAACATGGGAATCACAGGTCACAGAATCAAGGAATTCCAGAATGGTTTGGCTTGGAAGGGACCTTAAAGCTCATCCAATTCCAACCCCCTGCCATGGGCAGGGACGCCTTCCACTAAATCAGGTTGCTCCAAGCCCTGTCCAGACTTCCAGGGATGGGGCAGCCACAGCTTCTCTGGGCAGGTCTCATGCACAAAACCAGCAGGATCTCAGGGGGAGCCCCTCTGGCAGGTTTACAGGTATTTTTGCAGGGGAATTTCACACCTGCATGGAATGGGGATGTTTTATTGGGGATGCAGACCCAGACTGTGTGTGCTCTCTGCAGTCGGATTGACCTCAGCCAAGGGGACTGGGATGCTGACCTGCACATGCACAGCTGCTCTGGGTCCCAGATCCTGGTGTGGAGCCAGGCAGGGGCTGAGGAGCCACCAAACATCCCCAACCTGCTCTTCTCCCAGCCCCAGCTCCCCAGCTCCCAGGAATGGAGATGGGGACCCCGGGGATCATCCCCACGGTCCAGCCTCAGCTCGTGCCTCCTTTCGGGGGTTTCTGAGCATCCCATGTGTGACATGGCACAAAGCAGAGCTGACCTTGGTGTGCTCCCAGGCACTGCCACCCCAAGGACACCAGCTCTGCCAGCTGGTGCCAAGGCAGAGGCTTTGCCAAGCCGTGGAACGCTGCCAGAGTGGGAGCAATTCTCCTCCGAATGGGTGGAAAGTCTGGTGCCTCCAGCACCGCTAATCACCCCTTGTTGAGCAGCCTCCAGCGAGCCAGACCAGATGTTTAATCACATTTGCAAAGAAGAAAAGGCTGAAATATGGCTATTTTAAAAGCTTTATCCAAGCAAAAGAATTTTTAAATGCCTCGTGGGCCTTCCAGATTGGGGCGGGGGAAGTCTGGCTTTGCTCCCGCTGCTTGGGAACAAGGATGAGCCTCGGTGCCGCCCCGTCCCAGGCACTCATCCCATGGCTATGCTTCTCCTGCCCTTGCTCTGATCCCTCTCTGACGCAGAACCCTCCATATTCTGGCAGATTTAATCGAGTTGATGATGATTCAGAACTCCCAAATGCACCAGGTGGTGATGAACGGCCTGGCTGTGTCGGCACTGATGTCCTTCGGCTTTGGCCCGTCCGCAGCCACTGCCCAGGTAGGGGCCAGGGGTGCTGGATGGGCAAAGGGACCTTTGCAGGGCTGCTCAGGAGAACAGAATGACCATGTCCCACTCTGGCACAGCATGGGACTCCTCTGGGTGCAAAGCTGGGTGGTCTCAGCCCAGCTCAGTGCAGGCTCTGCAGCCCCTGTGGTTTTGGAGCTCTCTGGGCTGGTTTGACCCCCAGCTCTGCCAGCACAGATCACATCCAGGCTGCTGGGAGGTGGTTGAGCCCAGCTGGGAAGAGGCAGGACCCTCCCTGTGCGCTCAGCAGGCGGGATGGCTCTTGCAAGGGCTGTCATTTTAAAGTTCGCCTCGACCCAAAATCACATTAAACATTTCATCTCCTTGCGGGGAAACAATGGTGCTTTCTGGGCAGGGGTGGGAGCTGGGCCCTGGGCAGCTGCTGTGCTCGCTGCCAGCTGGCACCTCTAGTCATCCACCCCCTCTCCCTGCCCTCCCAGTGCCCGCCAGTGCCGTGCTGGCCCCAACTGGACCCTGCTGTGGCTGGATCAAAAGGGCTCTTCCCAGCAGCGTTTTGAGGTCCCATCTGTGGGGCTGCCATCCCCCTCCCCAGTGTCCCCAGCAGCCAGGTTCCCACGCTGGCTGACCGTGGGGCTTTGTGTGGGGCCGAGCCCACCCAGCTGGGCCCAGGGAGCAGCCAAGCGTGGCTCCATGGGAAGTGCTTCGGGAGCGGGGGCACGAGGGGCCTGGCACGGCCCTGCCTTTTGTTCCTCCCCACAGGCGCTGGCGATGCCTTGGCAGACCGAGGAGGAGGAGGAGGAGGAGGAGGAGGCTGTGGTTTTCCACCATCACTACATCCCCTACCCAGGTCCTGTTCTCATCCCGCCGTGCCTGGACCCGCAGCGGGATGGGGGTGCCGTGGCTGTGCGCTACCTGGGCTCGTTAGCGGAGGATGAGGCGTGAGTAACGAGGGGGGCTTTCTGCCACCTGCTCCCCGGTGTAACAGGCCTCCCAGCCCAAGCTGGGATCCAACATTCCCTTGTCCTTGCTCCCCTCCAGCAGGGCGGTGCCCCCTCCTCCACCCCCCAGCGCCACCGGCACGGTGGGGCCCAACATCCCACCGGCAGCAGGTAAGGACACGTTCTTCTCCTGTCCCTCAACGAGGAACATCTCCCCTGGCTTTGATCAGCCAGGCTGAGCCCTCCCTGCTCTTGATATCCATCTGATCCCCAAGGTGGGACATCCCTTGCACGTGCTCCAGCTCCTGCCTTTCTCCACAGAGTACTACAGCGTGCTGGAGGAGAGGCTGTGAGCTCCATGCTTCCCCAGGTGGTTTCTCTGGCACATCCCAGCCCGTGATCCCAGAAGATCCTGGATGGGTGCTTCAGGATACTCATCAGTTCGGGGTGGTTTCCTCCCCCTGAGCCACCTTGAGGCAGGGGGTGTCACAAAGCCTGTCCCCCAACCCCAGGTGACATCCTGGTCCCAATCTCTGCATCCACGAGGACTCAGTGGCACGGGCTCTGCTGCGTCCTGGTGGGTGGGGAGAGGGGAGATGTTCCCAGCCCAGGTGGTCCCAGCCTTCATCAGTCCCTTCAGATCTCCATGCAGCACATTGCCTGTAATTAATTTGCTTTGTTAAGAAAGCGCTCTGCTGTCACTAATTAAGCATCTGTAATTACATGGGCTGATGGCTTTGTGCCTGAATGCAGGGCTCCCGTGGGGCTGGAGGGTGAGGGGGTGCAGAGCCTCTTGTACCCGGTGGGGAGGATAAATCAGTGCCTGATGTGGGTGCTGGAGTGGTGTGGGGGTGGTACTGAGGTTTGGAGTTGGGAAGCAGAGTGGGATGTCCCTGCTGTGACTCTTGGGAATGTCCCGTGCAGGGTTAAAAGTTGGACTCAATGATCCTTGTGGATCATCTTCCAACTCAGAATTCTATTTTGTGAGTGCAGGGAGAGTTGGATCTGCCCTGCAGCTCCCTCGTGGTGGGGGAGCCTGAAGAAGGGAGCTCATGGAGGGTTCAGTGTCCCCTCTGCTCACCAGGAAGCTGGAGGAAGTGGCGAGAGATGCGTTTTGGGTGCTGGGAGACGTTCCCTGCCTCTGCTACCTCCCCAACCCCACTGTGTGGTGACAGCCCTGCTTCTGACACCATCCCCAAGAGAAGAGTTCCTGGCAGGAGACCTCAGGGCTGGTGGTCATCTGGAGCTCAGAGGATGCAGAAGGGCAGCTGCACCTTAAATCCCCCCCGGTGCCCCCACTGGGCACGAGGATTGCCCTGCCTCTCCTCTGGGGTGGAGGGGAGACTTTATCCTCCCTGTGCTCTGGGACAGGCAGATCTTCCCCAGCCTGGCTCCTGCTGCAGCTGGACGAGAAGCCCCCAAATGTGGAGCAGGAAGGTCATGTTGGGTTGCAGCATGAAAGCCCATCTCCTCCTCTGGGAGGTGGCAGGACTGGCTGGGCAGAGCAGAAGGGGAGGAGACATCAAAAAAGCAAAGCTGAGTTTGGTGGGAGACCAGGCTGGTGCACAGGGGTTTCCACATAGAGGCAAAAAGGGAAGAAGGAGGCGAGGAGTCACCTGGAATGGGGTGGACAGGAAGGGTGGGCTCAAGACACGACCCAATCTTTGCTTTAATAGGAGAATAATGAGAGGAATTGGGAGGGTGAAGCAATGGGGATTGCAACACCCATGGTGGACGTAACCCCTGAACCCTCTCTGGCTCACTGGTCAAACTGGGGCACTCTCCAGTTGCCAGCATGGGGAGCATCCCATGGCCAGAGCCCAGGGGCATGGCTGGCACCCACAGCAGTGGGGACAGGGAGAAGGTGCGGGTGGAAAGAGGCACAGAGAGGAACAGAGATGGAGAATGGTTCTGCTGATGGCAGGTTGTGCCAGATGAAGGGCAGGACTGCTGGGTTTGTCCCAGGAGGGTGTGATGCCCCTTGCAAGTGTGGTATAATGGGACTGTTTGCCCCAGAGATGATGCTGGGGTTGATGTGGGAAGGCACCAGAGGAGCTCTCTGCTCACAGGCTCCTGACCTGAGAGAGTCAAAGCGCTGGGTCTCGGCAGCAGCACATGGATGTTCCTCTTTTCCCCATCCCTGGAAGTGTCCAAGGCCAGGTTGGACAGGGCTTGGAGCAACCTGGGCTGGTGGAAGGTGTCCCTGCCCATGGCAGGGGGGTGGAATGAGATGACATCTAAAGTCCCTTCCAACCCAAACCATCCTGTGGTTCTGTGATTTTATGCTTCTATGATTAGGGCCGTGGACCCACCAGGCTGGGAGATGCTGCTGGTGGCTGAGACCAGGCCACAGTTACCTGAGCAGTGACAAGCACTTGATTTCTAAAAGCAAGACTGGAGTTTCCACAGGGCAGCCCAGAGCTGGCCTGGATCCTGTGTGCCCAGTGCGAGGGCAAGAGAGCAGGAGGAGAGGCTAATTACAGCCCTGTGGTGCTAATTGTACCTGTGAAAACACCTAATGCAATGCAGCCCCTGGCTGCCAACTGGGGCGAGGGCTGGCATCTCCTCCAGCCTGGGGTGGGAGCAGGGGGGTGGCAGAGCTCAGCCCTCCGAGTCATTGCTGGGACATTGGTGGCAGATGGGAGGGAAAGGGCACAGGGGCTCTTCTTCCCAAACTGGGGGAAGAAGAGAGGTGGGAAGCACTGGCACCACGTGCCTGATGTTGTCCCAGTTGGGGAGGTATCTTCCAATAATCTGATACTCTGCAGGGTGAGGTTTGGGGATCAGCCACGGTGCCAGCAGGTAACTGTGACAGGCCTTGCTGGGGTGATGGGCATGGACCAGGACCAGCTCTTTGCTTGTCCTTACCAGCTGAGACCCCCCCTTTCCCAGGGTTGGACAAGAGAGATGCCCAGAACACGGACACTTTTGTGGGTGACAGATCTGATCACATCAGTGTGGAGTCACTGCAATGGCTTTCGATAGCCCGGGAGGGCACTCACCCAGCAGTGACACCGTGGATGACTCAGGGTCCCGGCGCTGACTCACTCCACTCTCCACCCTTGGTGGGGTACCCCCAGCCCCATGGGAGCTGCTCCATCCCCAGGCCTGTGCACAGGGTGAGATACACTCAGTACCTTCCCCTGGACCAGCCCCAAACACCCACACACCGAGCCACCTGATTCACCTGCCACGCTCCTCGGCATCCCCGGCACCACTCGCCCTCCTCCCGGGGACGAGGGCTGAGCTCCCCGGCACCCTCTGGCCAGGGGCAGCACGATGGAGGCGGTCCTGCTCCATGGGCTGCTGCTCCTGCCCTTGGCAGGGCTGCTGCTGTACAGGTACAACACCACCTTCCACTACTTCTGCACGATGGCCTTTTTTCACTGCTGGATCGTGGCCATGGCCACCCTCCTGTCCCCCTTCGCGGCTCTTCGGGGACGCTCCGTGGAGAACATGAAGTGAGTACGGCCTTGGGAGTGTGGAGATGGTGTGGAGATGGCTGGGCTTGGCTGAGGTGGAGGAGCTCCTGTGGTTTTGTGGACATGCTCTCTCCTGCCCTGGCCATGCCCAGAGCTGTGTTACAGCTGCTGGTTGGGCCCTGGGGCCGTGGCGGGCGCTGTGGTCACGTCCATGAGGCAATGAAGGTGTAACTGCATCTTGTGGTGCGGTGAAGAGCTGCTGGCCATGTCCAGGGAGGGTTACACCACAATGGAGGTGGCCAGCTGGGTTAGGACTTGAGGTCCCTGGGGCAAGAAGAGGAGTAAATGGGATCATTTTTGATGGTGACACTGGGGTCATCAGCTGGGTGGGTGATGGGGGTGTTGGCAAAAACTGGAGGTGCTGTCGCTAGCAGGGTGCAAACACACACCCAGCCCTGTCTCCCTGGTGCTGCAGCCAGGTCTTGCCCTGTGGCAGCCTCAGGGATGGTGAGGCCCTGGCACAGATTGCCCAGAGAAGCTGTGGCTGCCCCTGGATCCCTGGAAGTGTCCAAGGCCAGGTTGGAACGGGGCTTGGAGCAACCTGGGCGAGTGGAAGGTGTCCCTGCCCGTGGCAGGAGGTGGCACTGGGTGGTTTTTAAGGCTCCTTCCAGCCCAAACCATTCCATGATTCCGTGGTTTTGGGGTGTCTCGGTGCCATCAGCTGTCAGGTGTGACACAGCCGTGCCCCGATGAGTCCTGCCCTGGTGCTGTCACCGTGCTCAGGGGTGGTAGCAGCCGAGATAACATCGCTGTGCAACACCAGAAGGAAGGTCTGGTTGCTTTTAAGGGTGTTGCAATCCCGTTGCTGGATTCCTGGGCATGATAACATACCAGAAGGGATGTAATTATGTCGGAGTGAAAAAATACCCGAGCTTGAGGTATTCGCTGAGCTGGAGCCATCCCCGTATCTGTGCTGATGGATTGTGGCCCTCGGCAGGAGCGTGGTCGAAGGTCTGATGTTTATCAGTGTGTTGTGCAGCATCTCTGCCTGGTCCTTTCTGTGCAGGAATGCTGTGCACACACCCACCCCATCCAGGGCTGCTCCAGCCCCGGTGCCAACGCTTCCGGCTCAGGGAAATACCCGAGTGACGCGGGGGCGACTCACGCTGCCTTATCTTGTCCCACCAACACCTCGCAGCCAAACTCCGCCGGAGCAGCACGCCCAGCTCCCTCTCCTCCAAATCCCAAAGCCTCCGGCTCGGAGTGCATTCCTGCCATTAGTCCTGGCTTTGGGCACTGCTCCTCTGCAGGCACAGGCATCTCTGAGACTGCAGGGGTGGGAGGAGCTGTCTTCTGATTCAGCGGACCCTCTAAGCGTCGTGCCTCCCTCTCCCTCTTTGCCAGCCTCTACTCTCTCCTCCCAGACTTCTCCTCCCTGCCTGTGGGATCCCTGGGACCAGTCACTGCCAGATATGTGGACCCTGGCACAGGTACTCTTCGTGCTGTGGGTTGGACAGTGCCCAGCTTTTTACCTCCATTGTGGTGCTGTAATCCCTGTTGCTCCCTCCTCCCTCCATTCCACTCATTATTCTCATACTGAGCATCACCTTCCACTCATTGTTCTCATACTGAGCATCACCTTTCACTGCCATCCCAATCTCACCCTTCCTGTCCAGCCCTCTCTTGGATGTGACATCACTGTGTGACGCCACACAAATGAAACCTCCACCTCTTCCCGGCACTGCAGGTCCGGTGAAGCTATTTGTGATTTCCTCTAAGGAATGTATCTGGTCTGGTTTGCCCTTCCCTGCTCTCTCCTGCCCCACTTGCATCACGAATCTGCAGTGCTGCCCTGGAATCATCCACATCTCTGTGGACCTTTCTGTCTCAAGACTCTTCTTCTGCGTGTCCCTCTCCAGTGCTCATCCATCGACATCTCAGCACCTCTTGGTTGTGGTCCAGCTCCTCTGGCTTTGGGTATCTACAGTGCTGGGGTCTGGGTTTCCAGCCCACACACAGATCCAGCTGGGCACCTCCTGGGAGAGCCTCCAGGTGAAGCTCACCTGGCCAGAGGCAGTTGTCCTCACTGGGATGTGATTATCCCATCCCATCCCCTCTCCTCTCCCTCCCTCCCTCCCCTCTCCTTCTTTCTCCCTCCCCCTCTTCTCTTTTTTTTCCCATCATCTCTGGACACCAAAACCCCTGTTTTTCCTCTCCCACCAGCTTGTGCTGGTCCCTGTCCTTCCTCAGCAACTCCAGGGCAGACTCTGCTCCCGAGACACCGAGACCTCCCCTTGGGGGTGGGTAGATGGTTAGTTAAGAGTTATAAATTTTGCTGGCAAAAGCAAAGCACGCCTGAGACTGAGCACAGATCCACCAGAGCAGCAGACCCAGCCCAGGCTGGCCCCTCTTGCTCCCTGGGGCCTGTGCAGATCTGCTCCCCACACGTGTTCTCTGCCCCAGGCTCCTGCGCGCTGCCATCCTGCCCCTCAAACGCTTCTGTGGCATCAAGATGCAGGTGTGGGGCACAGAGCACCTGGACCTCGAGGAGCCCTACGTGATAGTTTGCAACCACCAAGCTTCCCTTGACCTCTTGGGTACGTGCAAGGGAGGAGGTTGGGGGCTGCCCATCACTGCACGGGCAGCCTTTGGGGTGCTACAGGGAGAGGTCCAGGCTCACTTTGGGGGGGTTTCAGTGGGGTCACCACCAGGGTTTGTGCAGGGAAGTGTGGGGGGTTTAGGCCAGAAGAGCTGGTGGGACAGGGGTGTGCTGCAGAGAGAGGGCTGGGATGAGAGGGTGTGATGCCAAATCACCACAGCCGCAGGGCTGGGTGGTTCTGGAAGCCTTTGGGCACGACTTAAAGTCCTTTAAGTCAAGTTTAAAAAAAAAAAAATCCAGTCTGGTGCTATATTAGGGTGTAAATGACTAAATAATCTGTCTGTGCACTGATCTAATTGGTCCCCTCTGGAGGGTTCCTCTCTGCAGTAATCACCCCTCAGGGACAAGGTGGCTGCGCTGCAAAATACGTTCCTGGTGTTCAGCTGCTTTGTCCAGCCTGGGAGTTAAAACTTCCACGCAGGAAATAATTTTCCAAGCTGGTTTTTTCTGCCTCAAATAATAAGGGGGTTGGGAAGGTATTTTAACAGCTCATCCCTCCTCCAGGCATGGTGGAGGTCATTCCTGAGCGCTGTGTGCCCATTGCCAAGAAGGAGCTGCTGTACATGGGCACCGTGGGCTGGGCCTGCTGGCTCAGTGGCATCATCTTCATCGACCGCCACAGAAGAGAAGCTGCCATCGACGTCATTTCCCAGACAGCCAGGACCATGTGGCGAGAAAACGTGAGGGGGGCCTGGCAGCAGGGGGGGGATCAGGGGGGAAAACACCCATGGGGTTAAAGGGGGTGAGTGGAGGGCTGCTGTAGAAGGCCCCAGGTGCCCTGGTTGAGGTCCATTCTCACCTCTCTCCCTGTTCTGTGCAGCTCCGAGTGTGGGTTTTCCCTGAAGGCACCAGGAACCAGAACAAATCCATGCTGCCCTTCAAGCGTGGGGCTTTCCACCTGGCTGTGCAGGCTCAGGTGAGGGCATCCTTATGTTCAGTCAAGGGTTGGACTCGATGGGCTTGGAGGTCTTTTCCAACCTAAATGATTCCATGATCCGCCCCTTCTGCTCACCCTGGGTGGAGCGGGGTTGGGGGTGCACCCTGGGACAGGGGGATGGAGGTCTTTTTGGTCCCCTGGGACAGGCAGTGTGCTGTGCAGGACCCAGGGTGGGACAGGGACCTGCTGAGGAGCTGGAGTCCCACCTGGAGAGGGGGTCTGTATGAAAGGCACCCCTGACCCTCCGTATCCTGTAGGTTCCCATTGTCCCCATTGTCATCTCCCCATACTGGGACTTCTTCAGCTCCAAGGAGAAGAGGTTCACCTCTGGTAAGTGATGGACAAGAATTCCCATGCTGGAAGGCAGGGCTGGCAGTGGCAAGGAGGCACATGGAGGGTCTCTTTGTGTGGGACACTGAGATGGGGGAAGGCAGCTGATGGTGAGGGTGGTTCCTGGCGATTCCTTTAACAGCATTCCTGGCCTTTCCCTTCCCTCCCAGGCACGTGCACCATCCGAATCCTGCCCAAGGTGGAAACGCAGGGCCTGAGCCCAGAGGACGTCCCCGAGCTGAGCGGGGCTGTCCGTGGGGCCATGGCCGATGCCCTCGCGGAGATGTCCCTGAACCCCCGGGGACAGGGGCAGGGGCAGCCCCCAGTGCCAGCAGGACTCAACTGGGACCACTCATTAGGCAGAGGGAGCGAGTCCCTCGGGGACACAAGGGAGGTGGCACAGCCAGAGGCTGGGCCATGCTGTCCCCTTGTCCCCTGAGGACGTGTCCAGCAGCCCTGCCACCGCCCCGGCAGGACGGTGCCCCGGTGCGAGGGGAGCAGAGCAGTGCGGGACGGGGACCAGGCAGCTCCCCAAAAACAGAGCAAGGTGCCCCCCCGAAACCCCTCGTTGTGGCTGTGCATCCCCTGTGCCCCCCAAACCTGGAGCTGTGTCGGTCCCCCTGGCACGTTGGGCAGGGGGGGACGCTCCAGGCAGGGCTGGGGGCTCACAGTGCCATTTTCCACCCCTGACTTCCCCCAAGGGCATGCTGGGCTCTTCTTCCAGAGGCTCCTAAAACGCTGTTGGGATGCAGCCAGCTCTGGGGAGGAGTCCAGAGTGCAGCATGTGGCCTGGGGGGGGGCACGAGGTTCAGGGGATGACGTGGGAAGAGCATCCTCGAGGCTGAATTGTGAGCCAAGGGTGCAAGATTAAACAGTCTGTAGCTGGTGCTGTGTGTGCTCGTGGTCCTGCCTGTGTCTGAGGGGCTGAGGGGAGCATGGGGAGGGGGGATCCTTCTCCTTAGGACCGTGCTGGGGGCCTGCACCCCTGCACATGGAGCATCCCTGTAGACACCACAGCTTATCCACGGGGTGTGGTGCTGGATGGCCTGAGGAGCGCAGGGCAGGGTGAGAGTGACACTGAGGTGGACCAGATCTGATCCTGAGGTGGAGCTCTCCCTGCCTTGGTAAGTGCACAGGAAGAGCATCTATTAAAATCCCAAACAGGATTTTGGATTGTGCCCACCTGGATCAGGAGACTTCCAGACCATGGTACAGCCCGACCCATCCACCAGCTGCCAACGCCCCTGGCTGGTTCCTCGCAGTCAGGCAGGGATTTGGGCATCTTTTGGCTCCTTCCCAGCTGGGCAGCTCCTGTTCCACCACCCCAGGGTTGCAGCAGGGCAGGGACAACTGCAGGGGGAAGCAGAGGGGCTGTCCCCCATGCTGGGAGCAGGGTGGGCAAGGCTTCACCTCCCGTCTTCAGCTAAAACCTGCAAGCCACAGGCAAGCCACAGTCCACCCCCTGTGGACTGGCATCATTCCTGCTCTCGGGAGCAGCTGGCTCGTTATGGAGGAAATCCTACAAATCTGTGGCAATCCTCTGCCCAGACAGACACCACAACATCAGCAACAGGAAAGAGGCTTCCCACCAGCAACAACTCACCAGACTAGGAACTGTCACACGGAGATGGTCAAGGGCAGCGTGCACATGAAGCATCTCATGTCCCAGAAAACCCCTTTAATCCCTTCCTTCCTGCCTGCCAGGATTCCCAGTGTCCAGCTTAGTCTGTTAGGCCTGAACTGACTTGGTAGTCCCACCACACACCCACCACCTTGGGTGTGGTTTGGCTGCCCAGAATCTTGAACCCAGCAAAGTTTGGGTTTAGGGGTTAGGCATTAATAGGAACACAGAATGGTTGGGGTTGGGAGGGACCTTAAAGCCCAGCCAGTCCCACCTCATGCCACAGGCAGGGACACCTTCCACCAGCCCAGGTTGCCCCAAGCCCTGTCCAACCTGGCCTTGGACACTTCCAGGGATCCAGGGGCAGCCACAGCTTCCCTGGGCAAAGCATTGTCCAACCTGGAACAGACAGATCCCAGGCAGAGACCTTGCTGGCTTTTCCACTGTCAGTGGAAAGTGAAAGCTTGGGGAGAGAAAGAAACTTCAGCACAGGGACTTTGGGAACACCTTCCTTCCCCTGGCCCTCCAAACATGGGGTCTGCAGCGACCCTGCCCTGCTGCTTTGGTGCTCCAGCCCTGGCACAGCTGCCAGGGGCAGTGGTGGAGTCCCCACCCCTGGAGGGATTTAGAAGTCCTGTGGGTGTGGCTCTCGGGTCAGTGGTGGCCTTGGCAGTGCCAGGGGAGCCACGAGCTCCTCGTCACATGGAACCACCCCCAGGCTGCCTGTCAGGGCACTGACCCATGGCCACATCCCAGGGAGTGGACGGGCTTGGGGCCATGCTCCCAGTTTGTGCCCTTGGGGGTGGCAGGTCCAGCGTCCTCTGGACACCAGCACTGTGTGGGGCTGCTCCAAAGGGCAGGGAGGTGGGCACAGGGCTGTGTTCAGCCATACCTGAGCAGGGCAGGCGTGGGGACAGCAGCCGTGGCCATCTGAGATCCCACGGAAAGAGGTCAGCCCCATCCACGGCTTCCTGGGAAGTTGGTGGCACGTTTTGTCCAGAAAAACTGTGGCTGCCCCATCCTTGGAAGTGCCCAAGGCCATGCTGGACAAGGATTGGAGCAACCTGGTCTCATGGAAGGTGTCCCTGCCCAAGGCAGGGGGTGGAATAAGATGAGCTGTTCAGTTCCCTTCCAACCCACACCATTCCATGATTCCCACAGCTCTGCCTCTGCCCTCATCCCCAAAAGGAAGGGAACTGCAAAGCAGGGAGGAAACCCTGCAGAGCAGGGGATGTGCTCAGGACACCGTGTGGCTGTTGTGGAGCTGCCTCAACTTCCTGGAATTCCCAGCAGGACAGAAGGAGGCAGCTCAGCCCCTGCCCTGGTTGGTGTCCAGCTCCCAAGAGTGGTGCAAAGAGGAACGAGAGCAGTCAGAGTTAGCACCACAACCCACCACTGTCCCATTCCTCTGCCCAGATTTTATGAAACCAGAGGAAACCGGGCAAAAACGCAGCCTCAGGTGTGTGATCAGCCCAAATAGCTGCTGTTTGGTTAAGTTTGAAATAGCTGTAAACTTGCCCTTTCTGAGAAATCACCGCAAACTCATCCAACGTCATCAGGATGTGCTGCCCACTTTCGTTCCGTTTGTTCCCACTCCACCCTGGCATCATTTCCCAGCAAAGCAGTGTGCAGGTGAGTCCTGCCCTGGGGTTTGAACCTCTGCAGGTTATAGGACCCTTTCCCAATAGTGCAAAAATCCAGCAGGGCCTTGAACCCAGGAAGCTGTGGGTAAACACTGCCTGACCTATATCTGCTGGTGCCTCTGTGGATCCTTCTGCAAGTCCTTGTTTGCTCACTGGATGGGAAGCAAAGCTCCCATTTCAGAGCCTGCAGAGGGGCAGGTGCAGATCCAGAGTGATCCAAGACCTGCAGGAGGCAGCTGTGGCCGTCCTAGACATCCACTTCCAGCTGGAGAAATGAGGTCTCCAGCCCTGCCCATCCTCTTCCTCATCCTGCACCTCACGGCTGGGGCATCTGCAGAAATGTAAGCCCCCTGTCTGTCTGTCTGTCTGTCTGTCTGTCTGTGCCTGCTGGGATGGCTTTAGCCTCAGCTCCTCGGGGATTCCTGGTGGGAGCTAATCCCTTGTTGGGGATCCTTGGCCAGCATGGGAACGCTCAGGCTGAGGGGTTGTCCCCTGCCCATGAGCGTCGAGGACGTGGCACTGGGGGCTGGTGGCCCTGGGGTGGTTGTTGCAGGTGCCCTTTGCTTGGGGCTGGGAAGTCAAGGGGGGGCCCAGAAGCAGAGTGGGGAGGCTGGGGGAGGTGGTGCTGCACCCCAGCACAGGTTCCTGTCTCCGTGGGGTCTGTGCTGGGTTGTGTCTCACCCCCCACACCCCTCTTGTCGCCACTTCTCCCTGCCAGGAGGTATGTGGTGACAGCCCCAGCTGTGATGTACCACCCCTACTCCTCCACGCTCTGGGTCCATCTCAGCGACCTCAGCGAGCCCCTCCAGGTGACCATCGAGCTGCTGGGAGTGCACAGAACCCACCCCATCACCCTGCTGAAGAGGGAGGTCCAGCAGCCTCAGATGCACCTGAACTTCACCTTCCCTGTGAGTGTCACCCCAAAACAGCCCCAAGCAGGGCAGGGACATCCCAGGCTCCTCGTTGCCTCCAGGCAGAGCAGTTTCCACCGGCTGCCCTGAGCTGGGGCTGTGATCCCACACAGGGCTGGGAGCAGATGGGACTTGCCCAGCTTTTGGCAGAGTCTCATCCCTCAGGCAGACAGAACTACTGCAGGCTCAGCCCAGTTATCCAGTGGCTAAAATAGCAGACCTGCAGACCAGAGCAGGGTGTTGGGGGGACATTTCACCTCGGGGAAGGTGTCCCTGTGGGTGAGGAGTGCTCAGGGTCACCCAGAGTGAGCAGAGCACCCTGGCCATGGCTCATCCTCACCTGCAGCCTGATGTTTCCCCCTGCAGGCTCCAGCTCCCATCAGTGGGAAGGAAGAACACCTAGACCTGCACGTCTCAATCCAAGGAGATTCCCTGAATGTGTCTGAGAAGAAGGAGGTGAAGCTGAAAATCCTGGACCCTGGGATCTTCATACAGACAGACAAACCTGTCTACAAGCCTGGACAGCAAGGTGAGGGGGGGGCAGGATGGACCACCCTGCTCTGGGCTGAAGGACCTGCTGGGAGGGGGCTGCAGGAGGCCCAGCCTTGCTCCTGCACTGCTTGGGAATAGGAGGGCTCATCCTGGGATGCACTGGAATGCCCAGCACTGACAGAGGGCAATGCCAGGACACCCTGGCAGTGCTGCATGGGGGTCACTGCAGGACTCTGGGTGGGTGGGTTTCCATCCACCTTCCCCACAGGGAACCCTCCTCCCTAACGATGAACTCACTCCATCTCTGTTTCCCTTTTCCAGTGAAGTTTCGAGTTGTCTCTTTGGATAAAGACTTGATTCCCAGCAATCAGCAGGTGAGAGCGGGGTTGGGGTGGGAGGAGGTGACAGGGCTCTTTTGCTCTGCCCTCCTACAGTCCCAGCCAGCCGTGGGAGAGGTGTGGGAGGCAACCAGCACCTTTCCCCTTGGGAATCCTGCCCCAGCCTGCTCTGCCCGGGTTCCTGCACTCCCTGGGGGCAGGGATGCCCTGTGCTGTTCAGGCTTCAGCAGGATAAGGAAAGAGAAAGCAGGATTGCACGTGTGACACGGGAATGTACCCATGCAAGCTCCCAGATAAGGATGTAGGGATGGCGAGTGGGAAGCAGGGAACGTGCTGTTGATATCCATCAGACACCAGGATTACAGGCAGGCTCAGTTTCTGGCACCTCTGAGCAATCACTGGGGTCTCTGGAAGTGCAGGATGTTAAGAGATTA